AATCGTTTATTTTATACTCATCGTACGAGTTTTCAAAATAACTATAATACATACTCATATACATTATGATTCCATATACAAATGGGCACACACAATTTTTCTTTTACTATTTACTGAAACTTTAGGGGTCCATAGGGATATTCTCATACTCATGAACTCAGTATCTAGATTCTATCAAATAACACGACCGTTCTCATACTTTGTCCAGTAATAGGCGCCAAACACAATATTGTCTCGATACCCCGTCCGGTATGAGGGTGAACTATATCTCTCAAACCCATTCGGTATAGGACTTCTCAGCCTCAACCGACTGAGATGGTATTCACAGTCGGGTTCTCTATGTACTGGGTCCATCCACCATGTCCCAGGGTGCCCAGTAATCATTTCTTATATAGATTCACACCATAAACCGATTACCAGTTACATACCAATATCTTATATTTACATATTAATAGTAAGTAATGCAATAGGCGATACGCACATCAAGAAACATAATTTAGACATTTATTGCAAAACCAATCAACAAACGGGGGATATGCAGTAAGGTAAACAAAATAACCGAGAAAGTAATTAAGACTAGAAATTTAATGGACACAATATAATAGTAAGTATCTTAAGCAATACATGAAAAATAAACAGTAAATCAGGTCAAATATGAACTGACTAGTTCTAACTAAATTAGTGACTTGTAATTATTCTTAGGATTTTTTAATTTTCACAAAACATAGTATTATCGATTATTAAGCTTTAATTTACCGTATCAGAGAAAATGGTGAGAGATTCTTACCCTGAATCGGTGTTCGAAATACCGTACTTTTCACTACGCTTCATAGTAGTCCATGGGTTTTTTGATTTTTTTTGTGAAAATTAAAATACTCGTCATGTATTCAAAAATACCCTAAAATACCAAAATAGGCATTGAAAAACTTTTTCGACCAATTTTAGGGTTCCGGCACGACGACGATTCCCCTCGATCTGACCGATTTTGGCTAGTTTAGGCTTGTTTTGGCCAATTTTACACGTAAACTTGCAAAAAAATGAGTTAGGAGGCCTTTGTTGGCCGGAAAATACAAAAAATTCGAAACCTATTAGGGGGGGTCTCCGGCTGCGACAACTTTGTCGGTCTTCCTTCGCAACTAAAGTCCCTCTTCGGTTAATCTGCACCAAAAAAGGACGGTGAATAGGATTGTCAAAAAATCACCCGAAATAGAAAATGGGAAGGAGTCATCAGAAAGGGTTTTGGGTTTTGATTGTAACGGATCGGTTGAGCTTTGCCCACGGTTTTCGGCTCATCCATCGACCATTTGGCTCCGATTTGGGCATAGGAAGATTCGGGATCAAATTCTGAGTAGGGATGAGGAAAAATTACTTGTTTTGGCATTGGTGATGGCTCTGGTGCGGCGGTAATGATGGTCAATTTCTTTTTCGGTCGCCTTTTTTCTTATTATCTAGCCAGGACTAGTGCAGCTAGAGTTAGGATTCCTTAAAACCCAATGTTTAAATACCCTCCCCGTATCAATCTAGGCCGTTTGTGCATGGACACATGACCATTTCCCGTTCGTTGGATTCTTTTTATTTGGGAAATGAATCTGGACCGCACAATCAAATTGAATCTGACCAATC